ACATTTTTCGCTAAAGCCTCGTCTATTTTAATTAATTATTAATTCGATACCGACTGATGAAGTAAGATAATTTCGAATTACGTAATGAACATAATGGTTAATTTATTTAATTATATTGAGCCATTAGCAATTCATCATTAAACCACAAGACCAATGCAGTGATAGTATTTTCCTCTTTGTACTATAAGAGAGATATCTAAAGCATTACTATCCTCGTTAAAACTCACAGAACCGCTTAACTTCTTCAACTGAGCGTAACTGAATAGGTTCTTATCAGATAACGCGGTGTAGTGGAGACTTGGTCCAAGGAAGAGACAGGTATAAACGCGAGGGTACCAATCTTTGCCACAGCAATTCCTGTGTGCGCAGTCAGTGGATTCCTTGGATCAGAAGCAGTGGTTTCGTGTCGTGACATGATGTCAAGTGGTATCTAAGCAAGCTCGGGGATTGTTGGCACGTACAACCTTGCTAAAACACTGGTACGTGCACCAATGTTCTTCATTCTCACACCGCAGGCTACACTACAAGATAATATGGATCTACACCACAAAAACGTACGAAAACTGTATAAAGCATTCGACTATAATGTAAACATTTATTAATTTTCGTTCACTGGGATGGGATTAGCAAGGGAATTTAGAGAGGTCAAAAGTCTTACAAACTGCCCTACGTTCGAGTCCCGGTGAGGAGAGCTCCGGTAGCTAGGGAAATAAACATAATTGAATAGTGGCCCCTAGCAACAGAGCTACTTGTATGGAAGAGGATATTCCAGAAATAAAGATCACAATCATAAAAATCTGTCCAGGGTTTGAGTCCCGGTAACGATGTTTTTGTAGTTTAGAAATGAATTACGAAAGACGAGCGTCAAGACCAAAGTTCTTTGTTTCTGAGAGGATTACAGAAAGTGATAAAAAAGTACCGGATGAGATATATGCAAATGAACATCAAGATTAACTATTTTGTCTTCACGGGAAATTATAAAAACCTTGAAGTTGTTTAGTAACAATTTCAGCTGACTTAACCCTTTGAAGCCTGACCTTCGTCAAAACACAAAACTTAGTTCCTTCCTGGACAAGAAAACATCTTCATTACTGGACCCAATTTGTTAATTTTTCTTAAGGACTTAAAATCGATGTTTATTTTCAGATTCTTACGAAAACCATAAAAAATATTCTGGGGGTAAAATGCAGAGTTAGTTTTCTTAAAGCATGTGGCGCATGTTGGTACCACTGCGCTTTAACTGTTTCAAAATTCGCGATGTATTTGAAGAAGTGGGCAATATTTTAGTTCAGTTGACAAATAACGCTACAGATTTGCATATGAAAGATACAAGCGGAAGCAGAAGAAGAAGAAGTATGTTCAGTTTAAATAATTATATATTCTCTTCTACATTTCCAGTATTAAAGCTGAATAAAAGTACATTATTCCGAATATTATCGTACGCAGTACGTAACAACAACAACAGCAACAACAACAACATCGGTTACTTAACACGTGGCTAAAATTCTTTACACGATATAATTATGGCTTAAAAGAAAGAATCACTTGGAAGACCTAAGCAGAGATGGTAAGTTAATATAAGTAGATCTCAAAGGCACAGATGTAATCTTGCTACTTTAATTCATCTAGCTCAAAGGCTTGAACAGTTAAACGACTATCATTTTAAAAATATTAACACCCATATTTTAAAAGTAAAATAATTTAAATTACTCGACATGAGTACGCACAGTCTTACTCCGTCTTTAAATTTCTCTGCGTTTTATGAGGGGAAAATATGAAAATACACGCCTATGCATTACGTGAGTAATACACAATGTACAATGCCTGTCATGTACGTAATTATAAGATCATTATTCTTTATTCCACCGCACACCTTCTGGTCTTTTCCGTACGAGAAAACGTGAGATCCACATCAAAATGAAAGATAATTTATCATCATATGTATCACGCATCAGTGTTCTAGCAGAAGACGCATCGTTTCAGGCCGCAGGTTCCATTAAGACGTCTCAATATCCAAGAAATACACGTAGAAATACATTTAGGCATTTACTGTTTAAACAGTTTGTGTTACTAGATTAAAACTAAAAGATGATTAATGAGTGAGTTTTTAATAACGCTAATTTGAAAACTACAGCTTCACTGACCACAAATTACAGATGCGGTATTGTACATTTCAGATCAATTCATACGCGATTAGATAACAGACGACAGAAGGTAGTTAATAATTGCAAATAAGACGAATGTATTTGAAAAAACGAGAAAATACTTAAGAATAAAATTCATCAGTATTCGCGCCTACCTGTGTTAACTAAGGAATCCATATTATGAATAAATAGATACTTCAAACATGGTATGCTAATTTTTTTCCATTTAGGTACTATATTTAAAGCTGTATAATCTCACACACTCACACGACACACTCTGCTTCACTCTTGCAGCATGATATATTACGACTTTGTTCCAAAATTCACAAAAAAGTCCTTTACCCGTTATGCCATTATTTGTTTAACATTCACGTCTCATATGTGCTGAAACCTAGCACTGATATCGTAAGTTTTTAAATCGGAGTAAATATTCAGTCTTCCTTTGCTTTCTGGTAAATTAAAAATGCAAGTATTTGCACAGTCAGCAATTCAGTGGTGTTCACAGGGAACGCAGTTCTCAAGTGTTCCAGTGAGCGTTGCAACAGTCATCCGACAGCTCTCTATCTAACTTTTCCATAAAAACGTCGCGAAGACCCTGGGGAATCGTACAAGGTCCGGCAACATTCCAAACGAATAATAACTAACTTCTACCGTATTTTCTGGGTTTCAATTAGTTTACGTGGTTCTATTTGAATAAGCGTTGCTTTTAATCCCTTTCTTTCAGCGAATATAAAAACTTAGTACAACAGAACTCATGTAAGACTTCAAGTTCTAACTGCTTCGAGAATGAAAATTATTTGTCTTCTTAGATGTTGCGCCGTGTAGTGTTGTAGAAGTTTGCCGACGTTTTAGAGGTGTTTGCTGCTTCCATTAGCAGGTCTCATAGCCCTTATGATGGAGGCATCACCCTCCTCCATAAACTTCCACCAGACTACAACACGCAACATCCCAGAAGATAACCATTTTAAATGTAGCCAATTTACGAACAAGGAGGCCGTAACTTATATTAATTTCACAAAGCAGTCATGATGATTAAGGCAAAATATACAAATATTTACAATAATTGATACATTGAAAATGGAAAAGGGAGCTGTGATATTTGCATCAACACAGTAACTATGTTACAGGTTGGACAATTGTAGGTCTTACTGGCAGCGGTAGGCATTTGTTTCTTTGCAACTTTGTCCAGACCAACTCTGAGGCCACTCTAGCGTGAATATGACAACTCACATCTACTCACAGTACCGAGGTTAAGAACACAGGAATTATACTTCACGGCTCATTACTGACTAATTTCTTTATGGCTCGGCGATTAATTAGCACAGGGAAAATTTACCTTTAAACTGAAAATTCGAGGAGGTCAAGTAGAAGAAGAAGAAAAAGTTGTCAGTGGAACCACGGTTCCGGAGAATTTGACGTAAATACGTCTATACGGAAAGGAAGTTTATATATTGGCTTTATTCTAAACATTTCCTTTATACATGCTTTACAATTGAGATAAGTTTGATTAAGACATTGTCTGTGGTAGCTGAATGTAATGTAATGTAAGGTAAGGTAAGGTAATATGTAGGTAACCATTGTTGTTTATTTGTTGATAAACAGATGACGTTTCCTAGGTAACATAACAATAAAGTTACACTTTTTCGTTTTCCTTTTTCGTAACGCAGTTTTGCCGAATGACCCTTCCTTATAGACGTATTTACGTCAAAAATGCAATCAATACTAATAAAAATGTAGCTTCAACCATCTACTGGTCATTTGAGAAAACGGAACAAGAACATGTTCTGAATAATATATCTTTGCTGCGTTATTCTGCGTGGTCCGAAGTTGCGTCATGCATGGACGCTATCTAATGTTATTGAAATATTTATATTCCTTTCCGCTAACGTGTCGATTCTCTGTGGAAAACATAGAATACTACTGGTAGTCAATATCTGGACGAACAGATGAGATGTGTGTGGGACAACCTCAAGGGAAATTAAGCAGTTGATAACCACAACAAAACGAAGTTGACACGTGCGCAGTGTCACAGATAGGCCTACAAGTATTTATGATGTCTACTTTAATATATCTCGGAATAAATCGATTGGAAAATTGACAGATTGCATAAATGCAATTATATATATGTTTGTTGTTGCGTCTTAAAGATTTATATACCCATTTATCTGTGTTTTACTTAATAATGCTGTAAGTAGTTCAGACTACAGCGTCGAATGATACGGCGATTAATGGATTAATGTAGAATAAAATTGGTGGAAAGGATTTGCATGAAACTGACCGTGGGGTAATTCTAGATACTATCCCGAAATTTGCCTGGGGTCAGTGAGGAAAACCATGAAACACCTCAGATTTACTTCTGAAACTTACTTTAATTGCATACAAATCTGTTAATTTGATTTTATATTACCCCAGAATTTGACAAATCCGACTCGTTACCCCAAATGGCTTTTCCAATAGGATACAATGTTAACCCATAATTTTAGATTTTTCGCAAAATTGAGAAAATAAGTTTCATGCGGACAGTTTTAGGCACCCAGCTGATAATATTAGTGTCAAGAATTTAATCACATTTTGTGAAACAGGTTGGTAAAAGCAAATTATTTTTCGATTTACATATCAGAAGGAACAGTTTGTAGGTGTGTCTTAAATATTCCAACCAAAACGGTGTCCTTCAGCCAAAATTTGTTGTCTTTGAGATATTCATTCTCGGGGTGACAATATTAAAAAAGTACTATCCAAATAAAAATCTTAGGAAAATTAACACTAAAACAAAAAGCAGTCTATCAAATGTAAATCTTTACATTAATACGATCAGTATCTTAAGAGACACAAATGCTTTGGCATGAAGTCACTCACCAAGAGAGGACTCGCGCGTACCGAGCACGGACGCAAGGCGCGGTCTCTCCTCCTCGAGAACGGCGTCTGCCTCTTGGCGGTACAATTGGAACATGGTGGCCACACACTGAACCCGCAGTTTGCCGTACTGAAACGTACTGCTGTCCATGTCGAGCTCCAGGCCGATCGTCGTAACTTTTCGCGACTGGGGGTCGTCACTCCTGACTCGATCCTGCTTCCAGAAACTTGCGTTCATCTGAAATCCAATTCACCACAAGATTACCAGGAGCCGAACCCGAACAAGAGACAAGAATAAGTTGAAGAATAGAAGTAAAGAGAAATTTAAAGAGGTAAAGTGAAAAACACTACTTGTAGGTGTAAGGAAAGAGCATCTTATTGCCAGAAGGTCCTTAGGCAATGCCCACTCGTTCTTCTGACAAGGATAGATTGAGAGGGAATGCGTTATGGTGGTCTGATAACAGAAGAGGAATGTTCCTGTTATTCTCTCTCTCTTTTTGTCATCAGTCTTCTGACTGGTTTGATGCGGTCCTCCATTTTCGCCTATCTTGCGCCATTCTCTTCATCTCCGCATATTTTTTACAGCCCACATCCTCAAAAATCTGCGTCACATATTCCAATCTTTGTCTCTCCCTACAATTCTTCCCTTCAACTGTTCCTTCCATTACCAAATTAACCAATCCTGGGTGCCTCAGAATGTGTCCCACCATCCTATCTCTTCTTCTGGTAAGATTTTTCCATAGACTTCTCCCTTCGCCTATCCTGTCTAGCATAGAAAGGGTTAAAAATACATTGCGTTAACCTTAATTAATAAAATTATTGTTTCAAACATCGGGTATTCGACAACGGTTTAAGATCAAGTATAGAGAACGCTGGCCTTGTAATCCTGGGGTCTCGGGTTCGATTCCCGGCGGTGCCCGAATTTATAACTTGTGTTGGGCAAGGCCGTGGTCTAGGCAACACAGAGTTTTCCTCCGGGGGCTTCCCCGGTTTCTCCGTGGCATCCCAACAATTACTCCATTCACACACAGAAGAAGGCAATGGCAAACCACTTCTGGATCATCTGCCAAGAACGTATATGAACAGGTCCCAGTCTGAGAAAAGGATGGAAGGATCCTGTTCATATCGACCTGTCGTCAGACAGAACACTAAATAAATAATAAATAGACAATTCGGTCCCAGATTAATAAAATTTGAGAGACACAACAGTGTAACAGGCAGGCAGACAGAAGGAATAATGCTAATTAGCACGAAATGCAGCGTCAGACATCATAGTTTACTGCCGTCCAAGAGCAATGCGACTACAAATTACAGCATTATGTTGGCAATCAATCACAGTACACTGGAATACAGCGGCCATTGTTTAGTATCACCTTGAGATCCTGTGTAAGTGATAACAGTGATCAGGGGATGGAAATAGCTCTCAGTTCCATGCAATCCCCCTAATTGACTAATTGGACTAAGTGTGGGAAACTAACTAAACAGCTGAAAGGACATCTCGCAGACACTGATATTCTATAAATTCTACAGAAATGTAAAATTAGAGCCCTGACACGTACGAAGAAGATCATAAATATATATAATTATAATAAAAATGGAACTTAATGCATTAATATACACTTGTACATGCCTTATTCTATGAAACTGGAAAATTTACGCTGACGTGCTCATAAAATGGGTGAGACTTCAGTCCTTACGTGATCGGAAAAAATGAAAGAAAGACTACATGGGAGACACGATAATACTGATTTTAAAGATATGGGATATAAGGGTGGGGACTGGAAGTAAGCTACGTTATCTTAGAACACGAAAATGAAACTCAATTTTCATAAAACACAGCAAAATTCTCAACTATCTGAGTGACTATAAGATCGTCAAAGGACTCTGCTCAATAACGTTAGTTAATTATAATCATCAAATTAAGATCCCTTTAAAGTACATTTCAGTCCCGTCGTTTAAAAAGAATTAATCTGAGACATTAAAATCACAATACTGGATATTCATAATTAGTTTTATCAGAACATTGTTTAATACACAGATGGTATAATAAATGGCCAGAAAATCTGATGTAGTAAACACACATTCATAAGTATTAACCTACAATGCTCAAAATCCCTTAACAGCATTACCATGGCAATGGTTGTAATAAAATACAGATTTGTAAATATGATTCCATATTATTATCAGTTTATTGCTTCTACTGCACGTATCCGAAGTCAGACAGCGGTTATGTACACATTATCAACAAGATTACGTTGTTCAATCGGTTTATTATACGACTGTATAAGTTGTGCAGCATGGAAAGTGATGAGAAGGTAATCATGAATTATGGATGGTTGGGTACGAATTTGCAGGAAACAGGTAGCACGTTTACAAACTACTACGCCGCCATACTGCAGGGAACAGTAGTCTGTTTTCACAAGAATATAATTAAATGAGATGCTAAGATGCTCTTTCTCAATTGTAGAAAAGTTAATATCTACATCGCTGAAAAAAACAGATAAATATTTGAGAATCTATAAACTATTGTTATTGATAAATGGTTATGTGATGTCTTCAAAAGTGGTACATATGACATTCTTGCTCACAGTTTTATCATCGTGGAATTTGTAAATCACTAGACAGCTACAAACAGAGAGCTGCAATAGGAACTTGAAGTATAAAAACGTCCATCCTGCAGTAATAAAACTAAATGGCGAAGAATAGCACAGAAAATGTGCGGACTGTAACCAAATCAGAATATTTTTTGATAAACGAATAGTCGCCCAGCATGTCCACAAATATTACACGTTTTACGGAACACGAAAGCCTGTGACCGTGTTCACAAAAACCCACCAGTGACTACTATTCCGTAACAGTTAAATTCAACCCATGTCGCCCACATTATTCCTTTAACATCAACTTTAATATTATCCTCCCCAATCTAAGTATTGTACTATTAAACTATGACTCAAAACGTAATGTATAAATATCGTAGCAGGTTAGATTAAACATCTTGCGGGCCGCAGTTTGGTAAACACTGTTCTAACACTGGTAATGTTAACTACATTACGCGGTGAATAAAGCAATCATTCGTTTATGATGTCGTGAAAATATCGATTGTGGTCTCGTGGGTTGTAACTTCGAGTGTTTACCTTTTGTTCCTACGAAACTTCGCAAGTCCGAAAACCACAAACGACAAGTATTTCTCGGTACACCGTTGTGAGTCAATTGAGAAGCGAAGTGAATTTCAGTTTATATGTGGACATCAACCCGAGAGCGAGTAACTGCAAAGAACAGTCGTTGGACCGAATCTCGTGATGTTGTATCCCGTCTAAAGTGCGTCGTAGCATGGAATCTAGGATGATCTTCCTCACCATGACGGATTAAGCTCTTCGGATGTTCCGGCTCCAAGGATTGCAGCTGTTCTGTTCCGTCACACTAACCGGACATCTATTACGTTTCGTTTTATATTGAGGCCAGCTTTCGTATATGGTTTATGAGCATTCTGTATAATTTCGTCATCCATTTATTTTGATTACATTCTATTATCGCATTAATGTCCCTAACTCTAGAACTTCTCCTATCTTAATTCTGTATCCTGCACCAATCTGACAAAATGCATTTACAGCCTCTCAATTCTTCTTCTGTTCTAGTTAAACATTCCGATTCATGTTAAACAATCGCATTTAACCAGTTTAATTCATTACCGATAGAATTATTCAGAAAGATGAAATTTTTCCTACAAAAAACACAGAACTTGAGTCAGGATCTCACGTAAATAAAAAAAACAAAAGTTAAGATAGAATTACACAGGCGAGATCGATCTGTGATATAACTGATTTTTATACAAAGGCTTAAAATAAAAAATAAACTATGGACACAAAATTCATTTCCAATGGAAGCAAGAGTCTCAGTGGATTTTTAAAATACATAGCTACTAATTAAACATATTCAAAAGCCTCTTCTCCACAATTATAAAATCTTTGTACTTTTAACATTTCAATCTCCGCAGTTCGAATGAAACGTAGTGGACTTATGTACATGAGAATTAATTGAAGAATTAATTGGGAGGTTATTCTTGACGGGGGAAAAATTTTAAAGTGGAGAAGGGAAATATCTCATCTCATATAATGCAATGGGGTTCCTATAGCGTAATTGGATCTTTCTGTGGCGTAGTTTGCGTGTGTCAGTCAGACAGCCCCAACGGCTATCTCGTTTCGTCTTTCCAAGGACCTCAGGGAATAAGAAGCGAAAAATATCTGCGGCCTATTTTCTTTACTCCCTCGGAATCATGCATCGTACCCTTCCCCCGTTCTTCCATATCTATTTTATTTTTATAACCTAGCTTAAAAAATAGTCAGATTTTGTTTCCTGGATGAATAAATCTTTATTCGGCCGGAAACCCCCGTTTCAGCCGCCCCTGTCTTCTTATTCATGGCTGCCCTTCTGCAGACACGTCACGCAACCCTCGCAGTCACTTATCACGCCCTTCCTCCCTTTGTGAGGGCCGGATCCCGCTGCACTGACGCGTTTTCCTCAAATTTTGAATATTCCTTGTATTATTTTCTCCTTTCCGCTCTATTCACTTCTAGTTTTCCTCTCTGTCTTCCACTCCTTTCTCAGTGTCGTTCTTTCGCTGTCCCTAATCGTGTTCTTCCTCTTCGTTTACTTACAACCCCTCATCCTCACCCTTCGTTCCAAGCTTCAAGTTAACTTTATTCCTTTATCTAACACTTAACATTTGAAACTTTAATACTTCTCGCCCGATGTGCCTTACCCCAAGTCCTTTAATCAATTAGTTTATCCATTAATCCTATTATAGCGCACCAAGGGAGTTGTGACGTATTGCATCAACTTCACAACTAGATACTTGAACGCGGGAGCTGACAATGAAAGAGCCAACTGGATTATAATGCATGACCAAGCCACATTTGTGTGTCCGTACGCACGGAAGTTAACAGTTCAGACACCAAAGCGTAAATTAAATTAATAATGTTGTTCAAGATGTGATGGGACACTCAGATATGAAGAACTTAAAAACGACCTCGTTCAAATACAGCTTAGTGACTGGCTACGGGTAGGAAAATCAATGAGCAGAACGCTGTTTCCACCTCCGATCCGGGGTAAATCCGTTCTTAGGTTCGATGACCATCTGAAGTTCCTCTGTTCTTTTAAAATTGAATTACAGAAAGTGTGAGAAAGTATGCAACAAAACGATCTTCAGATTTATTAAAACTTGATTGCCTCGAGGCCTAC